AATTTCAAGTTTCTGTTGAATACTTAACACAACACGCTTCCTTTTAAACCCCGACATTTTGCTAACGCACTTGAAGATCTATATTAAGAAACTGATACTTACTTTCACAATGCACTCTCACACTGAGATGGTACCGTTAAATAACCTGGGGCGGTGTATTTGTCCTTGAAACTTTCCAAAAATTCTTGCATTCTTTCACCCCCACCCTAGAACATTGTGTTCGCATAACGGGACGAAATAATGCAGAGCTCGGTTCACACTAGTGCGAAAATAGTGTTACAACTCACCATGTGAAACAAAAGTGAATGAATATTAAACAACATATAAACTTAAAAAAAAAGCCCCGGTTAAGCCGCAAACCGGTTAATCCGCCCCCGGATAATCGAGAGTTGACTGTATATAAATTTTACATCACATTGTGAACACATGCTGTGCACATCTAAACACGCTTTTGGTGTAGCTGATACAGCAGAGGGACTAACATGCAGAAAGCAATGCAGAGCCAAGTGTAAAGGACAACCGTTCAGACCTCGGAGAATAAGAAATGTGAACGAGAAAGAAGATGAGCAGAATAACAGTGACACACTGAACGTGACCTAGAAGCCTGTACAATAACTGAAGGAGAAAAAAGAGATGTATCTGACTTATGCTTCATTCACCAAAATTCATATTGTATATAACTCAGAATAACTTACTGGGTTTTTGGATTGTGTTCAATGTCTGGTGTTCAAAAAACAAGAGAATATATCATTTCAGAAACTGTGTCTGTGTCAGTCCTCTCTTGTGGGAGGGGGGCATAACTACTCTGCTGGGTCCATTAGAAAGAGATTGTTCTAGCAGGACAAAGGACAAAGTCCAAAAATCCAGCAATTCCATATGCCTTTAGAATCTACAGGTATCCTACAAGTGTATTAGTGTTCTGGAGAGCGTGTGCTATTTAGGGTTTATTTTATTATGCTCTTAGTATTTTAGGCTACATAGCATTGGTTGGAATAGTGCTTCATAAGTGGTTAACTTGGAGAGATTAGAAAAAAAACAGTCGTGACATTTTTCCCTGCAGTAACTAAAGAATAACTCGGAAAGAGTCATTCGGTATAGCCGGTGTCCCCACTGATAATCGACTGGTGTGTTTGGATATGAGTATAGAGAGCAACCACTGCACGAATATACTCATCACATCATCAAATTTTCTGTAATGTTCATTGTTGAATTGGATTATAATGAAGTCTGGTTGTGCCATGAGTGTACCTGTATGTTGTCATGCTGTTGTGCTGTTCTCCTTCCTGATATCTAGCACTTCTTACGTCCAAGATAGGAGCGGCGCATCGTCAGGGGCTCTCATGTTATGTTCACAATGCTACCTAGATGTAG